CTCCTTCTGCATAATCATGCTAGACCGAAAGCCAAATTTACTTCCTGGTTGTTGTGTCATGGGAAGCTCCCAACTAAGGATAGGCTGGTGCGGTTTGGTATTGTTCAAGATAGCTTATGTAGGTTGTGTGATCAGGAGGAAGAAAGTGCTAACCATATTTTCTTTAGCTGTTCCAAAACTATTACTGTCTGGATGGCAACCTTAACTTGATTGGGGGTAAACCATAAACCCCTTCTCTGGGAGGATGAGTTGAAGTGGATTCTGGCTAGTACTAAAGGTAAGGGTTGGCGGACAACTGTGCTCAAAACGGCGTTTACAGAAACAATTCATGAAACTTGGCTGCTTAGAAATGCTACTATTTTTGATAATATTACTTTTAACAACAATTCGGTAGAAAGAATTATTGATTGTATAGTGTATAGATGCTGGGGAAATAGGAAGATTAGGCCTAATATTGCTAGATTAATGTTTTAACATTTTTTTTGTAGACTTAGATGGCTGAACCTGTAGAGGTTGCCTTGGTTGTCTTGTTTTCTTTTGAATTAATATATCATTTTTGGTCCAAAAAAAAAACTTTAAAATGTCTAAAAAAAGTACACTTATAATATATTAAATTAAATACATCGAATATTATAAAAGACGTCATCAATTATAATCTTAAAATTTGTCACACCATCCCATAGTCTTATGTGGCACATCCTAAAATTTATTTGGGGTTTTTAAAATGTCAAGTATAATTCTTTTACAAATTGGGGGTCATGGGTGTAATAAACTCTTATTTTGGACAAAATGATCTAAGAAGCCAATGTATATTCTTATATTTTTCTAAAATTATAGCAATAAAAATAACACTTAAAACAAATGTTTTTAATTTTAAAGTAATTCTTACACAATTACGAGTTGATCTTAAAATATAATACAATATGCAATAATCTTTTATCGTGTCTATATACTTTACTATTATATTTTTCATATAATACCAAAAAATAAACTAAAGAAAAAAAATATTTATGATTTCTCGCATATGAAAATATATATATTTTTTTAAATAGTTTACTTTTTTTGTTTTATAATTGTGACTATAGAGAGTATAATAAAAACAATTATTTTAATATCTAAAAAAAGAACACCCATTTCAACCGATATCAACGGCAAAATAAAATAATTTTTTTACAATCTCAATAATGAAAATAAAAATAATAAATAAAAAAAATTAAATTACTATAACAACTAACATTTTACATCAGATAACTAAAGTTCGACAAAAATAGACATAAATTTTATAAAGTTATTAAAAGTTTTATTTGTTAATAATTAAAAAAATAGTTTTAATGTTATTTAACATTAAAAATAAATACTTATATTTAACAAACTAAAATAAATATAAGTGTAAAAACACATGGTAATAAATATAAAATTAAAATAAAAAAAAACCACTTTATAGATATTTAAGTTTATAAATCTAAATTATAGAAATCACACACTCTATTTACAAACATGTATTTTCTTTTAAAATAAAATTTATTTATTTTTAAATGATTAATTTGTATAACCGTCTCTATTATAATCCACACAAAAAATTATAATATAAATTTAATAATTATATTTTTTCAAATCAAACTCTTAATATATTTAAAATTCAATAAAAAACAAATAAGCTAATGTCTTAATCTAATTTTTATAATATAACAGGAGGAGTTGAGTGTAATTGGTAGAGTTACTTTTACTATGGTGGATATGGCAAGAATAAGAATTGTCTTTAAGAAAATAGTATCACATATTCTATCAGAAGAATTATAAAGGTGAAAATTATTTATTAAAAAATATTTTTCGCTTTTTTAATTGATAGAATTTATTATTAGTTATGTTAAAATAAAATAAATAATGATTTGGTTGTTTTCATTTTTTTTTATTCACAGGTTGTTCCTTGGTGGTACCAATTTGGTATTTGACTATTTGTAATTTTATAAAAATATTTGAAAATATAATAAATAATTAATTTTTTGATACATTTTCTATGCCTTTCTAATAATTCCTTCTTTCCATCATTATTTTATTAATATATAATTATGATATTATCAAAGGAGTCCATACATTGAAAATAAACTATATAATTGTAATAAAATGAATTATGTTCTACATATTTTTCTATGATATAATAATACTCACTTTGATGCATTATGCAAAATGTTTTCTACATTAAATCTATACATCAAAAACCATCATTCATAAGATCTTAAAAATAATTATGATTAAAATTTGTTGGTGCATAAAGGTTGAAGATGAAAAATAAAATGGAAGAAGAGAGAGAAAGAAAGGACTATATTACAAAAGTTTGTTGAGGAAGAAATTGTTTATTTAAAATTTTACTAAAACCTTAGTTAAAAAGTTGCTTATATACACAAGGTAATCTGTCGCATAGACCCTAACAAATGCAAACTTAATAGTTATGCTAACAACAATTAGGACCACAGAAGCTAAACATACTTCTGGGGTGTAACCTCAGAAGCTTTTGCTTATGATAAACACAAATACTTCTGAATATGAATTACTTCTAACACCATCCCTTAATTCATATTTTACAAACTAAATTCTACAACATCCATTTCATTCCTCAAACAGATAAACTATTCAGTCTTGACGACTTTCGTCAGAACACATGCAAGTTATTTCTAGGTGCTATGTGTGAAACTTCTAACACTCCATTATGGATTTGACTTCTCAAAAAGTGGAACTTCGTGTCAATGTGCTTGCTTCTCCCATGCAACATTTGATTTTTGGCAAGGCTTATAGAAGATTGATTATCAATCATCAACTTCACATGTTTTCTAACCTTGATCTCTAGATCATGCAACAAATTCATCAGTCAAACAACTTGACACACAGTCAGAGCACCCACAATATACTCAATTTCACAACTTGACAACGCAACAATCGATTTCTTTTTGAAGCACCAAGAAATGAGACTTCCAAATACTTGAAGAAGTATCCAAAAGTACTTCTTTTGTTAACTCTGTCTCCATACCAATCAGAGTCTGAATAGTATATCAGCTCTACATCAATTTTAACACTAGAATTAAAAAAAACTCCACACCTCATAGTCCCTTTGATGTACCTTAGAATCATGATAGCATCTTAGTAATGTGATCACTTTTGTTTGATCATAAACCTACTCAACATTTCAACTGCATAACAAGTATCGAGTCTGGTATTATAGAGATATCTTAATGAGTCAAAACACTATGTAAAAGTTGTAGCAGCAGGTGATTCGTCTCAACAGGTGTGATTGCAGGTTATAATTTGTGAGCTCAAATCTCTTTAAAAGCTCAAGTTTATACTTCAGCTAATGCAAAATTGTACCCTTCTCAGAGTACAATACATCCATCCCTAGAATGTATATCAGCTTTCCAAGGTCAGTCATTTCAAATTCATTCATTAACACCTTCTTGAACTTGACTATCTCCTCAAAACAACTCTCTGTCAACAATATATCATCACTAGTCTAACAATCACTAGTCTAACAATCACTAGTCTAATTGTTTCATGTCTAGATACAAGCATAAACACCTTAAGGTAATCTAGCCCAGATTTCTGAAGACAACCTCTAACCACTAGCCTCACTTTGTGTTTTCCTATTGATCTATTGACTTTAACTTCACCTTGAAAACTCATCTGACGCTGATGGCTTTCTTCTCTTTTAGAAGCTTAGTCAACTCTCAAGTCATGTTTCTTTCTATAGCGTCATGATCTTTGTTCATGGCCTTCATCCATACTTTCTTCTTGAAAGCTTCTTCAATACCCACTAGTTCATAATCTACTAACATGGTGCACTGAACGACCTCCCCCTCAGAGTCTATCTTGTAACATGTCAAACACTGCAAACATTCTTGGTATTTTTCTGATTCTTTATGGTCTCTAAACTCATTCTGAACCCTTTTACAGAACCTACAACAATGTTAGCTTCTGGGCATCGTCTAGAACCATTGCCTTCAGAAGTAACACCTTCAGAAACATGATTATCTCTGAAAGCTTATCCTGTAGAACCTACTTCTTCATATTTTTTCCTTTCAGAATCATGATTACTACTAGATTCTAGATCATCGTCAAAATCTGGATCAAAATGACCTTTGGATTATGACTCTTCTTCATAGTCTTCAGAGTCATCTTCTGACTTTGACTCTTCTTCAGAACTTTTAAGTTCTGACTCATTTTTAAAACCTTCTGAAGTATCTGAAGAAGCTAACTCAAGTGTTGACACTATACCAAAATTTGATTGAGACTTGCTTCAATCTCATATTTATGATTATTTCACAATGACGTCTCTGTTGACTTTAGAAGTTAACAACTTTTTTAAATTTTTTATTTAAATCTAAACAAAGATAAGATTAAGAGAAATAAGATTTTATAAAAAAATAACATTCTAAAATTTTTTAAACAAGTATAATTTCCGAATTATTATGTTAAATCAATCAACATTGATTGACAACTACACCATAAACTTGATGAATATTTTTGCAAGTGAATGTAAAGGTCTTCGATTAATAATTTTTTTATAATTCCTATCTACATGGACTGTTTTAATTCCTATGAGGCAATGATAAATTTAGTTTATTTGATAAAAAGAAAATTATAACAATTGAAGGTATGAAGAGCGTATGATGAAGTAGAAAATCTTTTGTCAATTCAGTTTTTAAAAAATATATACCTATAGATGATTAAGCCTCCTTGGAATCATTTTTTTAACCTGGTTTGGTAATTTTGGTTGACATATAATTGCTTTCTGAATTCTCATAATTAATCATATAAAATAGTTAAGCCATATTTCATGGTTTGTAACTCTCTTCTTCACTTGCAACCCTATGATGTCTGAGGTTGAACAACAAAGTATAATGAAATGGAACATAAGAATATTAAAAGCACTCGATCAAGAATTGGCAAAAGAAATTAAAAAATATATTCTGTATCTCTTTATTTCTTATTTTATTTTATTCAATATTCCTTTAGGGACATTTCGGATTCCTACCTGGTCCACCAAAGAAAATATATGACTCATAGTTTTTATTAAAACCTCCTACTATACTATAACAATCTGGTGTTGCTTCTATATTTTCGTTATCTAGAAGGTCAATATAACTGTATGGATTAATTGCAACTTTCATACTCTTAATATATGCAGCCTTAAACGCAAGTTCTTGAGCAAATTGTCCACTACCCATGTAAGTGGAAGTATGATCTCCTGTTGGGTTTAAATCCACAACTTCTCCACCAAACTGAATTAAATTTGCTTCATGATTTAATTCTTTGAATAGGGAGAATGGCCAATAACCAACTCTTTCATAATTTTCATTTCCAGCTCCATATTCAAGCCACCAACGCTGATTCTTTTGATCCTTCAAAAACAAAAATTAACAAATAAAAGTAAACATTACATGAAAACCTTTAAAAAATATACTAAAATGATTAACATACTAGATCTTTTCTTCTAGCTATCCATAAATTTTAAAAGGTTAATTTAGTATACTAAAAAAATTATTACCTGCTCAAACTTTAAGTTAAAATCATATTGGTCTCCGCCTATTACAGACACCGGAGCAACTACAGTTCCAGGTACAACTTTTCTGCTTGTTTGAACAAAACCAGGACATTGTAAATTGTAACAACCAGTTCCTTTATAAGCATCCACCTACAATTATTATTAGTATTATCGATTTGATCTCAATAAATTTTCTATTCTTTTCACATCTTTTACTTCAATCAATTCACTTACCGTCCAATAAGTAAATATTCTAGGGCGACTGTCTCCAAATCTCTTTGGACATACCTGCATATGATTGATTAAATGTGAAAGAATTTAATGTTAGTCGGCTGTCGGTGTAAAAAAATATTACATATACATTCGATAAAAATATTTTAAAATAATAAATTATATAAATAATTTAAAATTTATATCCTGAATGACAGTGTAAAAATAATTTACATTCTCTTTGGACCATCGTTTTTCTCAATATAAGTGTTTAATAATATATTACAATTAACAAGTCAAAAAATGTATATTAGTAAAATAAATAAAATAATATTTGAACAGAAAAAAACCATGCCTGCCAACCGGCTTCAATACTCTCTTTAGCTGTTAGAGATTGAACCCAAATTTTAGATGAGCTGGATTCCTCATTATTTTCCACTCGGGGAGACCAAACGTTTATGGTACCCTTTGCTCCGTGGTAACCAGCTCCTTGCACATACGTAACTACTTCCTGTTTAGTATGATGATACAAAAAAAAAATATTATATTAAATTAAGTGTTTGCTTATTTGTTAATTTAATTACCATAAAAAGGAAAAAAAAATAAAAAATTGAGTGGAAAAACATTGAGTTATTGTGATTGCATACATAGAGTCTTTCATGAAAGGGTATGCTTTTTCTTCCAAATTGTATTTCTTCTTCTTTTGTTCTTCTAATTGGTATTGTTCCATTCGGACAAAATTCGCCTGATAAATGCCATGGTTGAAAGTTTAGAGTTGAGTTATTTATTTGGTCATGTCCTTCTGAGTTTTCTTGAGAATCCTGCAGTTAAAAATATGGATAAAATTATTTTCAATTATAAAGTTAAAATATGATAACTTCCTTAAGTTGAAATTTTATTTTCAAAATATCTTTAGCCAAATTGACAGAAAAACATACCAATGATATTTGTCCTTTTAAAACTGGAAGATCAAAAGCTGGTTGTTTATGAAACAAAACACAATCTATGATATCACCATCGGGACTCTGAAAAAACGAACACAAATTAAATAAATCTAAGTATATTAGTGGTGTTTTAAAATTTAATTTAACATACCTGAATTGTCTTAATAGCAGGCTTATTGATTTGTTGAAGAAGTGTCTTTATCGTTTTATTTAATTTCTGAGATCCTTTTTCAAATCGTAAAGTTTGATTGACTTGGTGGTTGCTTGTTTCTAATGAATAAATAGGACAAATGAAAGTGACAAGAAAAATAAAATGCAAGATGAAGGACATGATTTGTGAGCTAAATTTCATGTTTGTGTTTTGTGAGTGTATTTCTTATGTGAGTTGTATATATATATATATATATATATATATATATATATATATATATATATATATATATATATATATATATATATATATATATATATATATATATATATATATATATATATATATATATATATATATATATATATTATTAGTTTTCTAAAAATATTGATTTGGTCAAACATTTTGATATCTTCGTTTTTCTTTTGCTATATATTCCTTAGAAATAATTACTTATTAGTTTTATGAGATACCATTTAAAAACCCATATAATTATTAATTTTAATTTCTATTAATTTATAAAAGGAAGATTACTTTTATGGTGGTTAAGGAAGACCGGAAGGTATTTGTTAGTTAAAATAGAAGATTATAAATTTCTAAACTCGAGAATATATCATGTAACATAAATATATTTTTTAATATTTATAAATCAACCATTTAAAAAGAAATCGCCAGTCAAAATAAATTTATATATTACCATATTAAAATATATTATATTTACTTAATTTTTCGTAAAAGGTTTGTTTAAAAGAATATAATCTTTGTTGGAAATCCACAAATATTTATGATAAATTTCTACTTTAATGACAATGAATTATGAGAAAAACAAGAAAAGAAAAAAGACAATTATTTTCTGTAGAGTTTTTCTCTGCCCACAAACTGTAGAAAACTTTGTTATTCACTTGAAACTGTAAATTATGTGAATACAACTTAATTGACTTGATTATAAAAATAGAGGTTACTCCCTCTATTTATAGATTTAACTTGCACCCTAAGCCCAAAAATATAAAAGTCCAAAATATCTATTTTGGTACTAAATCAAATCTATTCGATTTTAGATCTAAATCAAATCTATTTAAATTTAAAACAAATCTAATCTTTTCGACACTATGAATTACAATTTAACACACCACCTAATTCATTGTGTCTAAACTATCTATATTCATCATGACTCTTAGCCTTCTGAATACTTCGACTTGCACTCCCTTCTTCATGATGTCTGCAATCTGATTCCCAGTTCTGCAGTGTTCCAAATTCATCTTCATATCTGCTACCTGCTCTCGAAGATAATGGAACCTAATTTCGATGTGCTTACTTTGACCACGTGCTATTGAGTTCTTCGCCAGATTGATAGTTGATATGCTATCGATTTTCATGGTAATTGCTCATGATCTTTCCCTGTTATCTCTTCGACTAAGTTCACCATCTAAGTTGCTTGACATGCACAAAGAGACGCAACTATGCATTTTGTTTTGCATGAGGATAATGTCACTACTGGTTTCTTTCTTGAACTCCAAGTAACTGGTGCACCACCTAGCATAAACACATATCCTACTGTTGATTTTCGATCTTCAGCATCACTACACCAACTCGAATCAGTGTATCTCACTAACTTGCATTCTTTTCCTTTATCAGCTGCAGAAAACAAAATGTCATAGTTAAGAGTTCCTTTGAGATACCTCAGTATCCTCTTCATTGCTGCTAGATGTGATACATTTGACTTCTATGTTAATCTTCTTACCATACTTACACTATATGCTAAGTCAGGCCTTGTATGACAAAGGTATCTCAATAATCCAATAAGTCTTATGTATTAGGTTTGGTCGACATCATCTTTATCTGTATCTTTCGACAGTTGCAGTCTTGGTTCTGCAGGTGTCAAAGTTGAGTTGCATTCTTCCATCTCAAACCTCTTGAGAATTTCTCCTGCATATCTTCTTTGATGTATCATCAAACCTCTACTGCTCTTGTATAATTCGATACCAAGGAAATATGAAATCTCACCAAGATCAGACATTTCGAATTCCATGCTGAGATCACTTTTGAAGTCTTCGATCTCACTTTTGCAGCTACCTGTTATCAACAAATCATCTACATAGAGACATAGTATAAGCAATTCACTATTGCTTCTTTTTACATATACCCCATGTTCAGTTGTTCACTTCACAAATTCCTTCTCCCTTATTAAACTATCAATTTTCTTATTCCAAGCTCTTGGAACTTGTATCAATCCATACAGGGCTTTATGCAACCTGTAAACCTTTCTTTCTTCATCATGTTTCACAAACCCAACAAGTTATTTAACATAGACTTTTTTGTCTAAGGTTCCATTTAGAAATGCACACTTCACGTCCATCTGACATATGTGCCAACTGTTTATTTCTGCTAGACCAACAACCAACCTGATTATTTCGATCCTAGCAACAAGTGCAAAAACTTCATTGAAGTCTATTCCTTCTTTCTGTAGAAATTCTTTCGCCACAAGCCTTGCTTTGTGTCGAGTTACTTCACCTTTCGAATTCATTTTCACTTTGTATACCCACTTGACATCAATTGCCTTCTTTCCTTGAGGCAATTCGACAAGTGATCAAGTGTTGTTGTCTTCGATAGATTTCACTTCTTCGTTTATTGCTTTCACCCACTTCAAATCCTTCAATGCTTCAGCTGCATAAACAGGTTCGACATCTGCATAGAAAGCATAATGTACCAACTCACCTTCATTATCTATCACATCGTCTGATGTAATCACACAGTCTTGCAATCTTGCAGACATGCGTCTTGTTCTTTGAGGTCTGCTTGTACTTGGTATATCTGTTGGTTCCTCTTGTCGAACTTCTCTTTCGATTTGAGTTTCTGGCTCTTCGAATAGGATTCTCACTGAATCTTTCTTGATATTCTCAGTCTAATCCCATTCTTTAAACTCATCTATGATCACGTCCCTGTTGATCAAAATCTGCTTTTTCACTGGATCGAATAACTTGTAGCCTCCTGTCGAATGATATCCAACTAGAATCATTTGACTTGATTTGTCATCAAGTTTTCTTCTCAATTGATCTGGCACATGTCTATGTGCAATAGATCCAAATACCTTCAGATGACTCAAGATAGGCTTCACACCAGACCAACATTCTTCTGGAGTAATTCCTTCTAGCTTCTTCGTAGGACACTTGTTCAAAATGTATGTTGCAGTCGAAACAGCTTCACCCTAAAGCTCTTTAGGTAAATTCTTTCCTTTCTACATACTTCTCACCATATTCATGATGATTCAATTCTTCCTTTCTTTCCTTTCAACGCATATTCTCCACCACCACCAGTTCTCAAAACTTTGAGTTTTCGACCATAGACTAAAACTTGGTAAATACTTCGATCACTTCACTTTTCTTCTTGATCAGATAAGTCCACAACTTTCGACTGAAGTCATCTATGAATGTAACAAAGTATTTGTTACCTCCCACCGAATCCACCAGGATTGGTCCACATACATCAGAGTATATGACTTCAAGAGTAGCCTTCGACCTGCTTCCTGCATCCTTGCTGAAGCTATTTTTCTGTTGTTTCGCCTGCACACATTTCTCACATAACTCGTTTGGAATGTCGATTTCTGGAAATCCTGAAACCATATTTCTTCTCTTCAAATATTTGATGTCTCTGAAGTTGAGATGTCTTAGTCTATAATGCCATAGCCATTCATCTCTACTAGTTGCAGTCGAAAGGCATTTGTGCTCCATCACATTTAGTTCGATCTTGAAGGTTCGATTCCGAGACATAAGAGCCTTCAAGATTAATCTTCCATTTGCATCGACGACTCTCATCATCTTATCTTCGATTGAAACTTTATAATTCTTTTCGATCAACTTTCCTATACTGAGCAAATTATTCTTCATTCCTGGTATGTATAACACATTTGAAATTATTGACCTCTTTCCATCTTTCCTCATAATCATAACATCACCAATACCTTCAGCTTCTAGGATATTGTCATTTACGAATTTTACCATATTTTTCATTGAGGGCTTTATGTTAACAAACCAGTCTTTCCTTCCAGATATATGTAATGAGAATCCTGAGTCCAAGTACCATTGGTCCTTGAATCTATCTTCATCTCTTGTTGTGACCATCAGCATCATCTCTTCTTCTTCATGTTTTACAAGCTTTGTATCACTTTCTTGATTCTTTCGTTTTTCTGGACAATCAATCGAATAGTGACCATACTTCTGACAATTGTAACATTGAATGTGACTCTTATCAGATTTTCGACCACCACCTCTTCCTCTATTTGCAACACTACCTCTTTGGTTTCCTTGGTGTGGTCTTCTTTGATTCGAAGAGTTTTCTTCGTTTTGGTTTCCTCTACCATTCGATTTATTGTAGTTGCCTCTACCTCTATCGAAACATTTTTCTTTGCCATTGGTTTCTTTTGTTGAATGTGCCTGCAAAGCCACATCATTCTTCGACTTGCCTACAACTCTTTCATTCATTCTTTGTTCATGAGATTCAAGTGTCCCTTGAAGCTCTTCCTTTGTCAATTTCAACAAGTCTTTTTCCTCTTCTATCGCCACCACTATGTGGTCGAACTTAGGAGCTAAAGATCTCAAGATCTTCGAAACAACAACTCTTGTTGTTAATGTTTCTCCACATACCTTGATTTAATTTACTAGTTTTATAACTCCAGTGAAGAAATCACATTTTAATAAACACGAATTTTAATTTATCATTTAATAAATTTAATTGTGATTAACATTTTTGAAAATTATATTTTGAAAATAAAATTTATAAAACAAATACATATTTTATGAGCTATAGTTTTTTAATTATTTAATAAAATTTATTTTAATTTTAAGTTAATGACTTAAAAATTAATTCCAGGCAATATATTTAAAGGATATTTTAATAAGTTAAATTAAATGGATTCAATTGTGTTTAAATATTATAAAATAAAAATGCTATATGATTAAATATGTATTATAAAATTTGGGAAATAATAGTTTAAGGTTTATTGGGAATATATTTTTGTAATCAATTTTATAAGATATACATTGTTTTTTACTTGTAATAGTTTTTAAATTCAATTTAGATTATCTTTATATTTCATTACCAATTATTTAGAAAATTAATCCACTCAATAAAATTTGATTGTTTTAATTCATTTTACTCAAATTTTATTTCGTTGGTTTTATAAATTTTATTTTACTAAGCTTATT